GCAGATTTTCTTGTCCAGATGAAGCCTTGTCATGGTGGCACGGAAAAATACTCCATTATGTCACTGATACACCCTTCAGCAGTTTGATAGACACGTTCAACCATGAAACTGCCCTCTGTGTCTGTTACAATGACAGTAAATATTGTTAACAGTTTCTCAACAGACACATGACACAATCGCTCTCTGTCAAACAAGTATACCAATATAAAATGCTTTGTCGCCAAGGCCACCATAGCGCACGAGAATTTGGACGTTGATTGCTAGCTGAATCCTCCAAAAGTTGGCACTTAGCACGGTAATTTTCTTCTGAAATTGCAATGATTCGGTAGTAGGAGCAACATACCCCAGTTGAGTTTTACCCATTCCTGGAACACCACCTGAATAAATCTAGTAGCTGATTAGTCTAGTCACCACAGATACATCAATGGACATGGCATTTTACATAAATAACTCAACAGAAAAGAATTGAAAGCCCTTACTCAACAGATTAGTCTAGTCACCACAGATACATCAATGGAGTATGAGATGTTGATGCACAAGTGAGAACAAGAGTAGAACAAAGACTCACTAACTTTACACGATTACTCAGAACAGTAGAAAAATTTGACAACACTATTGCTAGAAGACAGGAGACCAAGAAACAAGATATAGAAACAGAGCTGAATGATAAACTGACTAAAAATTGCCCGGCCGATTATATGGTTATTAACCAAGAGTGCAATGCATTCCTAAAGCAAGAAAGGTGTTAACTATCTCAGTAACTTCCTTTCAATGAATCCCTCCACCAAGTATGTCGTTCAGGTCACCAGAGCCAGTAGTGATGTGTTTCCGTGATTGCTCCTCGGGCAACACGTCCCACGCCTTTTGGGCTGCTGTCACATACTAGTATTTGAGTGAGTGAGAAGCAGTGCTATTACAATCCGTTATCATATCAAGGATATATAAAACATGAAGAGAATTAAGAGCAACAGGTACAACGGTTCGCAAAGCTATCGAATCGCGTGACAAGTTACCAGCAGGACATATCACAGTTCACATATGGGTAGAAAATAAATTCACATGTTGTTAGCCAGTTAAGACAGATCAAGGTGAACTATATTGGCCTCGGATAAATCCACAAAAACATCTAAATGACTAAGACTAGAACATGAATGCCAATTATATAAAATATATCATTATCATAGCTTCACAATTACCTTCCTCGATTCCCAAAGGGATCTGCATGCAGGTGCGGGATCCCAGGCGCAGTCTGGCGCTGCATGCGTTCCAGAGGGACGGGTGGCCGACAGCCACCAGGTGCGGAGCCCACCGGCCAAATCGATGCGGGCGGGGACGACTCGTCCGATTCCACGCACTCGCCTGCTGGGCCCAGCGGAGCCCGCGATGGGGTGTGCACGCCCGACCACGTCTCTGGCACCACGCTGAGCGGCGCTCTTGGGCGGAGAAGTCCGAGGTCGATCTCACCTACGGCACCTGCGGCCTTGGATCTGGCGCTGGATGCTGGGGCTGATGTGTCAGGATCTTCTGTGGCAGGATCACCAGCTACAGAACCTGCCTCCTTTGGATCTTCTGTGGTGAGGTCTACAACAGCGCGAACAGCAGCACCCGTGCTTCCTCTTCGACATACAAGATCTCAGTCAGGCATTATAAAGGAAAAAAAGTACACCGATGGTACGGTCAGGTATGATAAAATCAAGCGTGCATTTTTACTAGCACCGGTGAGCCAACTCATTTACATGATGCACTTGCTCATAAAGATTGGAAGAAGGCTATGGATAATGAATATGATGCACTTGTTAAAAACAAAACTTGGCATTTAGTACCACCAAAAAAGGGTGATAATGTGATTGATTGTAAGTGGGTTTATAAAATCAAAAGAAAGGCTGATGGCAGTATAGACAGATACAAGGCTAGATTAGTTGCAAAGGGTTTTAAGCAAAGGTTTTGTATTGACTATGAGGATACCTTTAGCCCTGTTATTAAAGCAGCTACTATTCGACTTGTTTTGTCTATCGCTGTTTCCAGAGGATGGAGTTTGCGACAGCTAGATGTTCAGAACGCGTTTCTTCATGGTGTTCTTGAGGAAGAAGTGTTCATGCGGCAGCCACCAGGATATGTAAATAAAAGCACACCACATTATGTTTGCAAGCTGGATAAAGCTTTGTATGGGTTAAAACAGGCCCCAAGAGCCTGGTACTCAAGATTGAATACACAGTTGCAGAAGCTTGGGTTCACACCATCAAAGGCAGATACCTCATTATTCTTCTACAGTAAGAACAATATTACCATGTTTGTTCTTGTTTATGTTGATGATATAATTGTTGCCAGCTCAAATCCAGATGCCACTACTTGTCTACTCAAGGATCTGAAACTAGAGTTTGCTCTTAAGGACTTGGGAGATCTTCATTACTTTCTTGGAATCGAGGTCAAGAAGGTAACAGATGGCATACTTCTTACTCAGGAAAAAATATACCACGGATATTCTCAGAAGGGTAGGCATGGAAAAGTGTAAGTCTGTTAGTACACCCATCTCTACTTCAGAAAAACTTACTGTTGAAACTGGAGAAGCACTTGGTTCAGAGGATGCAACAAATTATAGAAGTATTGTAGGTGCATTACAATATTTAACTCTTACACGTCCTGATATTTCCTACTCGGTGAACAAAGTATGTCAGTATTTACATGCTCCTACTACAGCTCATTGGACTGCAGTAAAACGGATCCTAAGGTATCTTAAATTTACAGAGGGACTTGGTCTTCAGACTGTCAAGTCTCCATCTCTTCTTGTATCTGCCTATTCTGATGCAGATTGGGCAGGGTGTGCTGATGATAGGAGGTCCACAGGTGGCTTTGCTGTGTTTCTGGGAACAAATCTTGTGTCATGGAGTGCAAGAAAACAGGCTACAGTCTCAAGGTCAAGTACTGAGGCAGAGTATAAGGCTTTAGCTAATGCTACAGCTAAAGTGATGTGGATTCAGACATTGCTTCATGAACTTGGAATTAAAGTTCCACAAGCTGCAAGATTGTGGTGTGACAACATTGGTGCAACCTATCTTTCAGCTAATCCTGTTTTTCATGCACGTACAAAGCATATTGAGGTTGATTTTCATTTTATCAGAGAAAGAGTAGCACGCAAGTTGCTTGATATAAGGTTTATTCCAACAGGTGATCAACTTGCTGATGGCTTCACAAAACCTCTTACGATGAGAAGGTTAGATGACTTCAAATACAATCTCAACCTTGGTAAACTTTCATAGGGTTTAGATTGAGGGGGAGTGTTAGACAAGTTGTATAGGATAGGGACACTAGTTTAAACTTGTACTCTGTTCTATCCTTTCTTCTGTCCAAACTCTTCTGTAATCTTGATCGATCTGTCTACGATCGATTTCTTTCTTGTACGCCACGGCAAACCTTCTATATAATACAATGCGGCCCAGACGAAGGGTTTACGCTTCCACAAATCCTTACACAGGTCGCCAGAGCCAGCAGTGATGTGTTTCCGTGATTGCTCCTCGGGCAACACGTCCCATGCCTTTTGGGCTGCTGCCACATACTAGTATTTGAGTGAGTGAGAAGCAGTGCTATTACAATCCGTTATCATATTAAGGATATACTATAAAACATGAAGAGAATTAAGAGCAACAGGTACAACGGCTCGCAAAGCTATCGAATCACGTGACACGTTACCAGCAAGACGTATCACAGTTCACACATGGGTAGAAAATAAATTCACATGTTGTTAGCCAGTTAAGACAGTTCAATTAGATGAACTATATCGGCCTCGCATAAATCCACAAGAACATTTAAATGACTAAGACTAGAACATGAATGCCAATTATATAAAATATCTCATTATCATAGCTTCACAATTACCTTACTCGATTCCCAAAGGGAAAATCAACCGGGCAAGCATAACAAAACAGGGCGAGCGGAATCATAACACGTTTTACAAGCAAAAAAATAGCCAAGAAACGGCATCTTACAAGGAGTGCGTTTCTCTGAGAACGCCGGTAGGCTCCTCCGGTCCCTTGAACATATTAGACTTTTTTTTGTTGATAGCTTACCAAGATGACCACTTGGTTTGAACATATTAGACTTGGGGCAGCGGGCAGATAAATCAAGAAAGAGAGGTCACCTTCGGCAGCGGCGACCTGGCCATCGCGTCCAGCCGGGGTTGAGGAAGGAGAAGCTGCGAGGCGGGGGAGGGGCCAGGTGCGGCGGCCTGCACCGCGGCGCCTCCTCAACAGAAAGGGGCTGGCTGGTGGGTTCTATGGGCTAATAGGCCCAGCCCACTTAATTCCGTTCCTGTCCAATCGGAGCCCACTAAAGCAATGTCAGTGGGTGGGCTGGCTAGTCCCACTTTCACGTCGACGTGCCCTTGTTGTTGGCCGGTAAGGAGAGGTCGGT